CACCTTAATGCAACCAAGCAACTTCCCATTCTATGCAACGCACATCCTTTACCAATAACCACTCAAGACATTCCGTGGTTCTCACACACCTATGAAGCATGACATAACCTTTATTGAAATTTCCTTTACTCGAGTCATCCTCGGTCTCAACCTCCGTAAGCCATAACTGAATCACCCGTACGCCTCAAACTGGAACCAACATAGTACATAACCGTGCAATCAACTAATCAATAGCAGACTCCCTCACTTGGCTCAAAGTCATAGATCAAAACACACAATAACTCGTAACGTATATACTCTATTACTGCCATAATACCATAGTGAGATTAAACTCAACCCTTCATAAGCTCGTGAAATACAGACCATCTAGTACTTTAAATCTTCTGCAAATCCAGTATTCACCCTCATAACAGTCAAGCCCACTCTCTTAGGCAACCCAAATTCAAATTGCAACACATATATTTCCCTGGTAACAGAGATCTTCCAATAAACGACATAAAGGATCATGTGAACTTCAGAACAATCCGCAAGAGGTAACCCACCTGCTTCGCCTCAAACTAACATCTCTTTATACCCTTCTACCGGCATAAACATTTTGCAGTTACTTAATCTTCCTGAGTCCGAACTCATGTCGCAATATGAAATTTACTTCACTCCCTAACTAGAAAACATAAAAAGATTCTTGACACTCCCATACCTCGGGGCTATACATCAATCGAGATTGAAATCAAGCACCAAATAGTCCGTTCTATCCTCAGGCAGACCCTTCTCATCTCATTCAATTTATATGAACACATCTCGCAGTCATATCACACCCATCACAAAGCTATCTAGTCATCACTCCCACTAATAGGAGCACTATCGGACATATAAATCCAAAAGCACATGCTCACATGATCAACGCCTTAGAGCTCAAGCTATAAGAAAAATCCGGCCTCAAGTCCTCCAGACTATCCCAACATCAACACACAGAGATCACATCTCACCCCTCGATCAGGGAACCACAAGCCGCCAATGCACAGCTGATACCGAGCGCTCATGTGCACATACGGACGCGTGGAAAAAATTTAAAGAGTTACATTTCAAGCTGAATCGAAGACGCACGATAAGAATTCAAGAATGTGAAGTTTTTCCTAAAGGTTCTACAGCCTCCCAAGGATAAGTACAAACGTCTCCGTACCGATCCGCGAGACTCTACTAAACTTGCTCATGACTCGTAAGACCTATGTAACCTAGGCTCTAATACCAACTTGTCATGACCGTAAAACCGACCCGGTCGTGATGGCGCCTATCGTGAAACTAGGTCAGCCGACACAACTCCCAAATTAACCATTTATCAATAAGAATCATATTTAAGCCTTTAATTTAAACAAATGTTTCATAATATAAGTCTAAATGAATAGTGCGAAAATAATATACAAGCCCGACATCGGGGTGTCACAAGTCCTGAGCATCTACTAAAGTCTAAATACAACGGAAAAGTCTGAAAGTGTACTGAATACAGTCTAACGAAACAGGAGGGAGAAAAGCATTGCTGCGAACAACGAGCAGCTACCTTTCTTAACTCCGATGACTCTGCCTCCGAGCGATCAACACCCGCTACTGGGTTCAGAAATACCTGAATCTGTTCACAAGGTGCAGGGAGTAATGTGAGTACTCCAACTTAGTGAGTAATAAAGGTAAATGAAAGCTGAGCAGTAAGAAAGCACGTAAATCACGTCAAAATGCTACAACAAATACAGGATATTTCCAACACAGTACAGAAATCATTTACTTTGTAAATCATGCTCAGTTTCGGTGAAACCCTTTTTAAAATAATTTTTCAATAGTTTCAAACGAGTGACAAAACAGAGAGTAAACATGATAGAAACATAAACAGCCATTCGGCAAAACATGTACCATAAACCGCCCCTCGAGCATAATACCAACAGAACTAGCCTCCCGGGCTAGTTCACAATCACTTGTAATCAGCCCCTTAGGCATAACATAAATCAAGAACCGCCCCTCGGGTAATAACATTGAACAACATCAGCCCCTCGGGCTATATCACATAACATACTGGGTACCCGCGCTCACTGGGGGTGTACAGACTCCGGGAGGGGCCCCTTACGGCCCAAGCACAATAACAAGCCATTCTCGTGGCATAATCAATATATCACTCACTTAGGGTACCCACGCTCACTAGGGGTGTACAGACTCCCGGAGGGGCCCCTTACGGCCCAAGCACAATATCAAGCCATCTCGTGGCATAATCAATAGGTTCTCATCCTCATATCAAGCCACCTTGTGGTATACAGCTCAGGTCATCGGCCTCATATTCATAATTAGTACAACACTATTGCAGCGTGAAACCCGATCCCATAATAATCCTCACAACACAGGCCCTTAGCCCTACTCAGTCAGAAATCTCTAAAAGCCACTCGGGCACAGTAAAACATGATGCTCAGCCCAAATATCATTTAAAATGTTAAAATAGAGTTAACATGGCTGAGTTATGTAAAACAGTAGAATATAGCATGACTGAGTATGTATATAAAATCAAAACAGTGAGGAAATAGCAGTAAAAATCCCCTAAGGATCCAAACAGTTGGCACGAGGCCAAAATGTGGCATTCAGCCCAAAACATGATGATAGCAAACAGGTTTCAATCAAATACGCAGTAAAACTGTCATTCGGGATGGACTAGGTCACAATTCCTAGCGGTGCACGACCCCACGCTCGCCATCTAGCGTGTGTGTGTCACCTCAATATAACACAATGATGTGTAATCCGGGATTTCATACCCTCAGGACAATATTTACAATCATTACTCACCTCAATCCGGTCCAAACTCTAGCCCGCGATGCTTTTGCCTCTCGAATTAGTTTCCAATTTCTCTGAATCTAACCAAAATCAGTTCCACATCATTAATACACGCTAAAGGAACAAAGCCCAAGCGAAAATAATCGAATTAACTCAAAAATTCCAAAATTGACAAAACCAGACCCCTGGGCCCATGTCTCAGAACCTGACAAAAATTACATCAATAGAATCCTTATCCTCCCACGAGTCTATACTTATCAAGAACATCAAAATCGGACCTCAAATGGCCCCTCATATCCCCACTCAAATGTCTCTTAATCTCAAGTCCTAATTACCCATTTTGCACTGATTTTTCCCAAACTTTTACCACTAATTAGGTCTTTAATCACATATAAATGAGTTATGAAGTCAAAAATCTTACCTCCAAGAGATTTCCCTTTGATTTCCTCAAGAATCCCTCTCATAAGCTTCAATCCCGTTCAAAAATGGTGAAAAAATGAAGAAGGGTCGCAGATTGACTCTTTAAATACTGCCCAGTTATTTAACCCTACGCGGTTGCAGCAATACCTATGCGATCCTGTAAGATAACTCCTCAAAACAATGCGATCGCGACCAGCTCTATGCGATCGCATAGAGCAATTCCATCACCTCACTGCCACTCCAAGTCCTTCTACGCGAACACAAAGTTTTCCACGCGAACGCAGAGACCAAGACTGCTCACCCTACGCGATCGCACTCCTACCTTCGCGATTGCGATTCACAAAATCCGCATGGATTCAACTTAATCTACGTGATCGCGGATGAACTCACGCAATCGCAATGAACAAACCACTGCTGCTAAAACACCAGAAAACCAACAGTCTCCCATAAACCAAAAGTGCCCGTTTTAGCATCCAAAATACACCCGAGGCACCCGGGACCTCAATCAAACATACCAACACATCCCATAACATCATTCAAACTTGTTCTAACCTTCGGAACTCTCAAAACAACATCAAAACTCCAAGATCACATCGGATTCAAGCCTAAGAATTCCAAAAACTTTCAAATTTTGCTTTCGATCAAAAAGTCTATCAAACCTCGTCCGAATGACCTGAAATTTTGCACACACGTCATAAATAATATAACGGACCTACTCTAACTATCGGAATTCCATTTCGACCCCTAAATCAAAATCTCACCTATCAACCGAAAAACGCCACAATTTTAATTTCACCAATTCAAGCCTAAACCTTCCACGGACCTCCAAAGTACATTCCGATCACGCTCCTAAGTCCCAAATCACCTAGCAGAGCTAACCAAACCATAAATTCCAATCCAAGATCATATACTAACAAGTCAAAACTTGGTCAAATCTTTCAAATTTTAAACTTCAAGCTGAAAACTGTTCTTCCAAATTCATTTCGATTACCTTGAAAAACCAAATCGACGATTTACATAAGTCATAATACACCACACGGGGCTAGTCACGCCCGAGAACTGGCGAGCGAAGTGCAAAAGCTCAAAACGACCGATCAGGTCGTTATAGAAGATGACAGAAGTGAGAAAGGTTCAGAAATTACTAACACTGCTTTTGAGCCGTCGTCTATGATGGTCAAGTGCGACCCACGTCATGGGAAGTACATGGCATGTTGTTTGATGTACAGAGGTGATGGTGTGCCTAAGGATGTGAATGCTGATATTGCCACAATTAAGACAAAGAGAAAGTCAGAGAAGTCTTCATGATATACCAGACAAAATTCCCGTTTGTGACTAATGGTAGATGATATGTGTGAGAGGAATTTTTAGATTGAGCATCGTATTTTCAGGGAATGGGGGAAGAGAATGGCATGTATCAAAGTAGAGAAAGAAAAACAATAGTGTAACTAAATAGCGTATTTAGTGGCTTAGGGGTAGGAGGTAACAAAAATAGATATTTTGCTATAAACATTAAAAGGTATCTATAGAATATAATTTTTTAAATGGTATTTATTTAAAATAAATAAGGTGTTAACCTTTGCTATAGGAGGTAAAAATTCCTATATAAAATTTAAAAAGTAGAGATTATAGTGAGACCGACAATTATTTTTAACTTTATAAAAGAAAATGAATTAAGAAATGAAAGTTACACGGAAACTGGACAATATAATTCGGTGCACTATTTCAGCCACCTACTACTATAAATATGTTGAAAGGCTTATTGCATTTTACGCATTACTTAGTGAGAAGCATAACCAATCTTCTTCTCCTTCTCCTTTCTTTTATTTCGTAGTAGCTATGGCTAAGATATCATTGCTACTAATAATATGTTCTATTCTTGTTGGAATGAGCTCTGCTCAGTCGTTGTCCGCCAATTTCTACTCTTCCTCCTGTCCGAATGTCCTCTCAGTTATCAAAACAGCTGTGGATTCTGCTGTCACCAAAGAGGCTCGCATGGGGGCTTCTTTACTTCGTCTTCATTTCCATGATTGTTTTGTTAATGCAAGTTACCTTTTTTTTTTTTTTTTTCCACCAGTACCGTCCATGCATGCATATCTTCGCGTGCAAAAAGAAAAAGAAAAATCCCTTTTAAAGTGGCATGTGTGTATGAAATTAGTTACTCCCTTTGTTTCAATTTAGACGAGGTAGTTTGACTCGATACGAAGTTTAAGAAAAGAAAAGAAGACTTTGAAACTTGTGGTCTTAAAAACTTAAGGGGCAAAAGATTTGTGGGGCTATGACATTTGTATGGTTATAAATGTTTCTCATTAAGGGTAAAATAAAGAATTTAAACTTAAATTATTTCTAAATTTAGAAATGTATCATTTATTTTGAAACAGACCAAAAAGAAAAGTACCTCATCTAATTTGAAACGGAGGGAGTATTAATTTATAATCTTATATATGTAAAGCCTAGTAGGTCTAGCTTAAATAAAGGCGGTCTGTCATAGATTGATGATTTTTTAGGCTAAATTGATTCCAAATTTAGAAAGGAATCATCATTTTTTGGAACGGACTAAATAGGAAATAAGTTCACATAAACTGGAAGAGAGGGAGTATATATATATAACACTTGAGTGAATCTCTTTTCACTTATATATACGCCATTGACTTACAAATAGTTAATCTTCAATCTTGAAAATAACCCTTTAACTAAAAATTCTTGTCTTCTTCTACTTGTTAACTATTGAGGCTACAATATATGACGAGTATTAAGTGGTGACTTTCTCTACCCCTCTAAGCTCGTACACACCACACCTGCTTGCAATGAATAAACTTGCATATGGCAATAATATTGTTTAGTTACTAATCATACTCATAACAACGTGTAACATACATGTTTAATTATTTGAATCAGGGATGTGATGCGTCCGTACTACTAGATGATACTTCAAACTTCACAGGAGAGAAGACTGCTAATCCGAATAGTGGGTCATTAAGAGGGTTTGACGTGATTGATACTATCAAAACAAAAGTGGAGGCTTCATGTGCTGGTGTTGTATCTTGTGCAGATATTTTAGCCGTTGCAGCTAGAGATTCTGTCGTCAAAGTAAGTAAAAATATGCTAATACATACATATTAAATTATAAGACAGCACGGTGCACTAAGCTTCCGATATGCACGGGGTCTGAGAAAGGGCCGGACTGCAAGGGACTATTGTATGCACCCTTACCCTACATTATTAAATTCTATGTACTTTATTCAAAAATTAATTCTTTTGTACGCATGTACACTTACAATTGGAAACGTATACAGACAGCCCATAAGACTAAATAAAATTTTCTAGTCTTATAATAAGTGCTGACTGTTAATTTGATGAATTTGCCAGCTTGGTGGCCCTAGTTGGACTGTTTTACTGGGCAGAAGAGACTCAACTACTGCAAGTTTGAGTGCAGCAAACAACAACATTCCTGCACCAACTTTGAACCTCAGTGGCCTCATTTCTTCCTTCTCTACCAAAGGTTTAACTGCTAGGGAAATGGTTGCTCTTTCAGGTCTGTTCAACTTTCTTAAACCACTAAAAAATTTAACTTACGTATATACACTACAGTATAATTTCTTCGAATAATGTTGCAGGAGGTCATACAATTGGCCAAGCAAGGTGTACTACTTTCAGAAACCGTCTATACAATGAAGCCAACATAAATGCATCATTTGCAACATCAGTGAAAGCAAACTGTCCACAGAGTGGTGGTAACAACAATCTTTCACCTCTAGACACAAGTCCAACTTCATTTGACAATGTTTACTTCAAGAATTTGCAAATTCAAAAGGGCCTTCTTCATTCTGATCAACAGCTATTTAGTGGAGGATCAACACACTCCATAGTTAACACTTACAGCTCCAATTCAGCCACTTTCTTCACTGATTTTAAAAATGCTATGGTGAAAATGGGAAATCTTAGCCCCCTTACAGGTACCAGTGGCCAAATTCGTAAAAATTGCAGAAAGACGAACTAATAGCTGGCCCGAATACCATGGTTATAATTTTTTTTTAAAAAGAGAGTACCTAAAATATGATCTCAAGATTTCTGTGTGTTGCTATGTTTTTCCCCTGTTTTTTTTTTTTTTTTTTTTTTTTTTTTTTTTTTTGGGTAGTCAACTTAAATGTTCTGCATTATTAGAGGTAAAGGTCGTAACGTCCCCCTCAATATGTAATGTTCGAAGTAGTGAAATGAAATGAGTGTTTTTTATATCTTGAACTGTCTATTATATTCATTAAAAAAAACATTAACAATTGATGATTTACGATCAAGAAATTTTGCATAGAATAATACTCCATATGTTCTCTTTTGCTAGTCCCTTAATAATATAGTTTTCTTTTTACTTGAAAATTTTAGCAATTCAAGAGATATTTTTTTTTTTTTTCCATATTACACTTAGTATTAGTAACTTCCCAAATTACTGGAATTACAATTTAATAAACACTAATAAAAATAATTTAATATAATAAGCCCTTAAAAATGGGGCAAAGGACAAAACTGGCACAGTGGAGAAAAATAATGACCCAACCTTCTCCTAAATACCAATTTCCACTAGCTGCCCCCGAAGCTTAAAAGCATCAGACGAAAATGAAATTTTCGTGCTTCAATTTCAATCAACCAACTCAATTATTCTTCAATTTGCTCCAAGCTTTAGGATTAACTTTTCCATGTCAATGTCAACACAGTATTGCAACATCCACCAAGGAACCCACAATGAATTTCAAGTTAAATTCAATCACAACTTCAAGTTTTAATAAAAGGTATTCCTCCAAATTTCATCTCAAAACTCCGATGTTTAATACCTCAGATCTTCGCCAAAACGCATCTAATATGAGATTCAAGTTTCCTAAGATGTTTCCCACTAGATTTTACAACACTCACTCTGAATCTAAACTATTACTTTTTTCATATATGAGAAAACCTTCGCACCAAGCTTAAGCCTCGTCAATGGCATGTCCCCGATTCCACTCTAATTAACCCGAATCCAGCTGGGTTTATACGATTTAAACTCTATGAAATACTAAAAATGACATATCAAACATCAAATACTCATCAAAATTTGAAATCCCAAAAATTCAGTCAACACGAAATTTACAATCTCAAATGCAAAAGCCCCATCTTCAAATGGGTTTTCTTGGCTAGCTCTTCGGCTTTTCGATTTTAATCGTCAAATGACATAAACCAAATTCGAAAAATGATTTAGCAATGTATTCAGATTCAAATCAAAGATTATTTCACATTAACTTTCGAGAGTGAAATTCTTCAGAGATGAAGAGTACAAAGTTTGCTGTCTCATTAACCATGGTTGGAACCAAATTTTTCAAAAACTATGTTCTTTTCTTCGTCTGCAAGTGCAACTAAAGTTTTGAAGATCAATTTCTCATCCCCAAATTCTTTATCTTAGAAGAGTATAATCTAATTGACAATAATTACCACAATAAAAAATTAGATGGGTATATTTTGCGAAAAATAAAGGAGTATAAGGAAGTGGGTAAATGGTAGTAATGAGTAGAGAAGCAAGGTAAAAGAATGTGGAAGTAGATTAAAGAAGGAATTATAATTTAAACAACTAACTGGTGTAGATAGAAACGTGGCTCTCATACACTGCTTGATGATTTTCTACTAGAGAGGATCCTATCTTACAACTAAAAGAATATTACCCCTTCACGTGAATCTATTTCCTTTTTTAGTCCGTACCAAACAGAATGACCTTTTTTCTTATTTAGAAATAATTTATCTTTACACAATGATTTATAGTCACACAAAATATTTTTACCTCATTTTACACCACAAAATCAAAAGTTTTTTTTTTTAAACTCCGTACCCAGTCAAATGGGTTCACATAAATTGAAACGGAGGGAGTATAATTTTTTTGGTATACTATGGAGTATAACATGATTACAGCTCAATCATGGTATACTGCGATTACTGTCATGGGTGGCTTTCCAGCCATGCCTCATGACCCCTTGACGTATCTCATAGCGTCCTGGCAAGCCTCCCAATGCCTAGTGCCATGGACGGCCTCGTGGTCTTAGCCGCGTCAAGTGACAAGTGCGCCTGTGCCTATGTCACCCCAGCGATAGCCCTCGCTAGCACCCAGCCGTAGGCAGATGCCAATAGCGTCACACACGCAGACTTTGATACCAAAGACAAGGTTGCTGCCAACGAACCTGCTTCTACCTTGTAGGAATCTATGTCCTTTTCATTGTAAATATAGAGTAGTTTTATTTTATGTATTTTTATTATGTCTCTCTAGCTTAGTTAGGTCGAGTTCTGTAACTTTGGTTTTTTTAAGCATTATTAGGGGGATCAAGTAATCAAACTTTCTAGCATACAAACAATTCTTTGTACTGGTGTCTCTCCCCCTCGACACCGTGTTGCTTTTCGGTAATAGCTTTCATTAATGCAATCAAGCTTTCTTTAATTCTTAATTCTCTTTTCTGTTCTCTCAATTACTCGTCATTGGTTTTCCCACACGGCATTGACAATCTCTTCTGGCATACGGAGGGAGCCCCGGTTGGTGGATAGTAATTACACGGACATCGGTTGCTTAGTCTTACGTTGTCCTTCCGAGAAATCTCATGAAAGTGTCGCGTAATAGTTGGTAACAGAGATTCTCGATATCGAACCAGGGAACACATTGTCATTACCACCATTTCTGACAATGGTGAATCATTGGGATCGCATTGCGGCCCTTGAAGAGACAATTGACGTATTACGACCCATTATGAATACGGTGCCTGATCCAAGAACCGGACTAGTACAAAGATTGGATGACTTGGACCACAGGATGCGGCAGGTCGAAGGTGACATAGCGAATATCAGTTGCGACTCTGAAGGAGACCGGCAAATGGCACCCACAAAGGCAGCCAAAATTTTTGGTAAATTCGAAGGCCTCCAACTGGAGCGTACCGAGGATTGAGCCTATAGGTCACAAGAGGCAGACAGGGTGACTTCCATGCAGCAAACCATAGACAACTTGAGAGACCAGCTCAATGTTGTCAGTGCTGCACTATAAGGCCTACTTCGAGGAGGCAGAAACCAAATCAGGGGTGCTGTGAACCTCTCCCCTATGCCACAAAAGATGAAGATTCCTGAGCAAAAACCATGCAATAGAGATTGGAATGCCAAAGAAGTGGAGAACTTCATCTTCGACATCGAACAGTACTTCGATGCCGTGGGGGAGTTAGAAAAAGAAAAAAAAGTAGAAACAGCTACCACGTATCTTCAGGGTGATGCTAAACTCTGGTGGCGAGTGAAATACGAAACCATCAAGGCAGGTAAAGATACTCTCGAGACATGGGCAGAACTGAAGGCAGCCATACGCCTATAGTTCGTCCTCGAAAATGTTGAGTACAATGCATAGAGAAAGCTACAGGAGCTCTGCCAGACCAAGTCAGTGCGGGAATTCTCCGCACTCATGATGAACATACGGGATATGGGGGCCAAAGACAAACTCTTCACATTACTCGAAGGTTTGAAACCTTATGCCCGTATGGAGATGCAAAGACAAAGGGTAGACAATTTACCCAAGGCGATCCAAGTAGCGAAATGGGGACTATCAAATGGAAACTCAGAAGGATAAGCCTCAGCCGCCTATCCGGGGGGAATACAAAGGGGGCCAGCCTAGCAATGGTGGCCCTAGAAGATGTGGAGGAGATTGGAGTGCAACCAAATCTAAGACTTCATCCTCAGGTAGCAATAGTGTTGCATCTAACAACAACGACCGGGAGAGGAATCTCCCTTCAGGATGCAGTCAGTTCGGCGGGCCACATTGGAACAATGAAAACCCATATGCACAGATGAATGCCCATCAAACTTTTGATGATGGAACGAATGATGATACAAATGATATTTACCAGACAGAACCAATAGGTGCCATCAATGCACTTGTTTATTCTATTTATGAGGCTTTAGCAGGAATCAATGCTGGTAGCCGTAAGAAGAAGGACCCATGCCAACTACCAATAAAGGGAAAAAGAAGACGGATGAAAGGCCTCCTCTTAACCAAGAGAAGACCTTGATGTTCGTCGAGATGAAAGTTAATGACAAGCCTATTCGGGTAATGATAGACACGGGCGCTACTTATAACTATTTAGCCTCAACTCAAGTAGAGCACCTTGGTCTAGTTGTGGGAAAGAGAAGAGGTCGTATCAAGGCTATCAACTCACCACCTCAGCCAGCGGGTGGAATAACCAAAGGAGTGCCAGTGATGTTGGGTCCTTATGAAGGAAAATTCAACTTGCGCGTGGTGATCATAGATGACTTCGAGCTGATAGTTGGGTTGGAATTCATGAGGCAAACCAACACCATTCCTGTACCTTAGGCAAATATGCTGCTGATGATGGGAACCAATGAGGCCAAGCCCTACATTATCCCATGAACAACCATAAAGATGGTTGCGGAGAAAATTTTGGCCTTACAGTTGAAGAAGAGAGTCAAAAGACATGAACCTATGTTCCTGGATACCCTCTGTATTGAAGATATTGAACGCTCTTTATGTCCCATTCATGAACCTATGAAGGAGCTGCTAAGTTTGGAGACGTCATGCCATAGGATATTCCAAAGCGACTCTCGCCTACACTGTGAACTATGAGATTAACTTGGTGCCAGGTGCGAAGCCACCTGCTCGGGTGCCTTACAAAATGTCATAACCCGAACTCGTCGTGCTTCGGAGACAGTTGAGGGAAATATTAGACATGAGGATTATTGTGCCCTCCAAGTCCCCTTATGGCTCCCCTGTGCTATTCCAAAAGAAACAGGATGGCATCTTACGACTCTATGTGGATAATCGGGCCCTAAATAAAATCACCGTGAAGAACAAGTACCCTTTCCCACTAATGGAAGATTTATTCGATAGATTGGGTGGTGCTACAGTATTCACCAAGATAGACCTGAAGACATGTTACTAGCAAAGCCGAATTGTTGAGGGAGATGAACACAAGACGACATGTGTGGAAAGATATGGGTCGTACGACTTCCTGGTCATGCCATTCAACTTGACTAATGCTCCAGCCATATTTTTCACCTTGATAAACCAAGTCTTCCAAGAGTACATCGACGAATTCGTAGTGGTTTACTTGGACGACATTGTGGTATATAACAAACATTGAAGGAATACCTTGAGCACCTGTGAAAGGTCCTAGCCTAGCTGCAGGAGCACGAATTATATATGAAGCTATCCAAGTGCTCATTAGCCCAAAACAGATTGACTTCCTCGGACATGTCATCGAGGAAGGGTGGATAAAGATGGACAAACAGAAGATTTAGGATGTCGCAAATTGCTTGCCGCCTAAGGATATCCATGCCTTGAGGGCGTTCCTTGGCCTATGCAACTTCTATCGGCGATTTGTGAATAATTACTCTCTCGTTGCAGTGACGTTGACAAAACTCCTAAAGAAAGTCATGCCTTGAGATTAGGGTCCCAAGCGAGCGGAGACATCAATGCATTGAAAGTGGCTATGTCTAGTAGCCTGGTCTTGGCCCTTCCTAATTTGGCCATACCATTCGAAGTACAAATGGTTGCCTTTGACTATGCTCTGGGCGGAGTCTTTCTACAAGAAGGGCATCCAATTGCGTACGAGAGACGAAAGTTGAAGGATGTAGAATGGCGTTATGCCTCCCACAAAAAAGAATTATTGATTGTCGTCCATTTCTTACTCCTTTGGAGGAACTATCTGTTGGTAACCCCGTTCGTAGTCAATACAGACAACACAGCTGTTATCCATTTCACGACCCAGCCAAAGCCGAATGGCTGCCAAGCCAGGTGGCAAGAACTCCTAGCGGAATTTCACTTCAACCTTGAGTCCCAAAGTGGGAAGACTAACCAACGTGTTGATGCACTCAGTCAGAGGGCTGACTTAGCATCATCATGCCTAGTTTCCACCCTAAGGAGGAGCGAAGTGGCCACCACTATAAGAGACCAGATACAAAATCTACTCCCAAAGGATCCTGTTGCACAATATTTGGTCTATTTGGTAGGATAGAGCAAGACTCGCTAATTCTACAGGGATGATGGGTTCCTGAAGGTGAAAGGAAACCAACTTTATGTTCCTAAAGGAGGATATCTACGAAGGACTATTCTGATGGAATGCCATGATACTTTATGGGACGGCCATCCAAGTGAAGAACACACAATGACGTTGTTGCGTCGAGCTTATTATTGTCCTCAAATAGTTGATGATGTTGCTCAGTATGTGAAGACTTCCCTAATATGCCAAAAAGACAAGTCAGACCGCTTGACACAAGTGGTAATTTTAGAGCTGTTGCTTGTTCCATAGAGACCTTGGGAAATCGTTTCACTGGATTGCATCACTGGATTTCCCAAGGTCAGAGATCTTACAACTACCTTGGTTGTGGTGGATCAGTTTGCCAAGTATGTTAAATTTATAGTAGCCCCACAATATATATCGATAGAATATACAGCTCAACTCTTCTTCTCTCATGTTGTCAAATATTGGGGTCTGCCTAAAGACATCATTAGTGCCCACGACTCTCACTTCACTAGCAACTTTGAGAATCAACTCTTTAAGTGCCTCGGGTCCAAACTGAGCCACAATTAAAGTTTCCATCTGCAATCTGATGGCCAGACTGAGCGGTTCAATTGAATGCTAGAGGAATATCTCCGCCATTTTGTTACCAGATTGCAGAAGAATTGGGTGAAGCTCCTGGATGCTACTCAACTATGTTTCAATTCAAAAACAAGCTCTAGTACAAACAAAGGCGCTTTTAAAATTGTTACCGGATAGAAACCACTATTCCCACAGAGTGTGAATGCCCCAACCATGTTAAAATCTCCTCAAGTTGCTAGATTCTCGAAGGAAAGGAAGTAAAATTTGGAGATAATGTAGAGTTATCTTGTCAAAGCCCATAAGCGGATGTCGAAGCATGCTGACCAAAATTATCGCTTTATTGAATACCAAGTAGGAGACAAAGTGATGGTGTAAATCCCAAAGCGATACTTATTTGCATGGGTCCATGAGCAAAATTAGCTGAGGCCGCAGTTTTGGCCTTATCACGACCCATTTTCCCCTCCGTTGGATTTCGTGATGGCACCTAGTCTTAGAGACTAGGTAAGCCTAACATTTACTGAATATCAATCATAATAAAGAAAGTTTGACAGTCTCAATATAGAAATCTTTATAGAATTTATAATTTTTCAAAACCGGTGGTACACGTCATAAGCTCTACAGAGTATCGCTACAACTTCTAAACACAACTGTATGGAGATAAGAACAACATTGTGAATACAAAATAGGAAGGTGATACTCCGAAGCCTGCGAACGCAGCAACATGTTTACCTTGAGTCTCCACAGCAACGGCCCGCACAGCTACTAACAAACAATATCTGGATCTACACAAAAATATGTAGAAGTGTAGTACGAGCACACCATAGTGGTGCCCAGTAAATATCAAGACTAACCTCGATAGAGTAGTGACGAGGGACAGTCAAGAGACCTACTGGTCTAATAAACTAAGCAAGTATAAGTATAGAAACGACAAAACATAATATCTATATAAAGACTACGTAATGAGGCTAATAATACAGTAATTGCAATAAGGAATGAAAACAGCTAGTAACAGCGGAACACCATAATAAGAACACAGAAAAGTGAATGGAAATACAACTCAAATCCGAAATCACAAATACAGTAAAGACAAGTCATAAATCGGCAACTACATCAATTTTCACATTAGGTCTTAGCCAACAACTTCGATCAATTAGTCGAATCCTTCAAGTGATAAAATTATTTCAAAATATACTTCCTTCAATTAAATATTTTTCCAAAATATTTCTTTCAAAATGAATACCTTTAGAATATAATCTTTTCAAATAAATATCCTTCGAATGTAAGTTACCCTGTGACACCTCATCTCATAATCGTACAATATGGGTCTTTACCCGAACCCTAACATGTGGCATCATGTGCCCTCATCACACCTAACAATCATACTGACAACTCATGTGCCAAATAGAGCCATTCTCACATGGAAGGCAAATAAACAAGGTGTGCCTCTATACTCAACAATATCAAGAAGCCTCTTATTTGATAAGGGTGCTAAGCCATGTGTATGCTTGTGCAAGTGTCCTAACATAGTTCATGCTAGCTAGTAAGCATAAGGAAAAGAACGAACATCACGTATAATATTTACATAGGGATAGGATCAATGAAAAGCAACAGCTCAGAACATAGTGATAATAATAGGGGATCTCCCAGGGTACCGCCATGTAGTCCCAAACGTAAATGTGCAGGGGGATCTACCAAAATACCGTTCCGTAGTCACAAGGTAAATATACAGAACAGGGGGATCTGTCGGGATACCATCCCGTAGTCCCAAATGTAAATGTGCAGGGGGATCTACCGGAATACCGTTCCGTAGTCCCAAAGTAAATATGCAGAATAGGGGAATCTACCGGAATACTGTCCCGTAGTCCCAAAGTAAATATGTAGTGCAACCAACAGTTACAGTACGGCAGAAACCTCGTATATCACGACAACAAGTACAACAACAAATATGCCAATAATACAAAGTACAACGAGTAAATCAACTCAAGAACTTTAAATCACAAAGAAACGGTGGAACAAGTTCACAAGGAATAACCATAATAAAGAATGCTAGGCATAAAGGGAACAATTCAACGAGGGAAAACTAACATGTAGCAACAACCTCACAATATGCAAGTCAACAATAAGAAAGCCAACACGAGTTAAATAGTTCCAAATAAAGGCAAGTCAACTAAGATACAGGTTATCTAAACTCTTTTTAAAGTTGAGCAATTGCGAAGAATGTTCAACAATTCAAATAATGGTAAGCAACAGAAGATGATCATCACTCCAATTAAGACTAAACAATTATAGGATAAGAAAATAACAATTTCAATTAAAGATAAGCGGTTATGAAAGGAGAGCATGACGATAGAAGGGCAAAATCTTCAGTTAAGCCAAATAAGAGTTAAATAGGCAATAGAGTGAATCCTAAAGCAACTAATTCTAACTAAAGCATGTAGAAGTGAAACCAATAAATAGGAACTCAAATGTATCATGAACAACTTCATACATAGTGAGTTAAAGGACCAAAGAACCCTAAAGTCCAACTTCCACAAAAAAGTTCGAGCATGCACTCGACACCTCGAGTACACGTGCTACAGTTAACATAGAAGACTCAAATCCTAAGGGGAAGTCCCCCACACAAGGTTAGACAAGATACTTACCTCAAAGACGACAAAATGATACTCTAAAAATGCACTTCTCGGGTGAAAAGACCTCCGGCTGGCTCAAATCTAACCAAAATAATTTCAACGCATAAATAAAACTCATAAGAAACTATTCCGGATCATAAAGTCTCAATCTTTAACAAAATCCAAAAATTGGTCCAAAAGTCGACCCTCAGGCCCGTACCTCGAAACTCGACAAATTTTACAAAAATCGAATACCCATTCCGATACAAGTTTAACCATACAAAAATTATCAAATTCCGATACCATTTCGTCCCTCAAATCATGATTTTTTTTAAAAATATTTCTTCAAAACCCAACATTTTTTTCAACCCAAAACACAAATTAAATGATAGAAATGAAGATAAAATCATGGAATATATTAGATACTAGGTGAAGAACACTTACCCAATTGATTTGTTTAAAACACCTAGAATGGAGCTCTCAAAATCAAAGTCCAAAACTCAAAATATGAAGAAAATGGACAAACCCTCGATTTAAATGATTCTGCCAGGACTTCCGCATCTGCGGACAAGAAACCGCATCTGCGTGACCACATTTGTGAGAGAGTCCGCATCTACGAACTCAGCTAACTAGGCCAGGGACCGCATCTGCGGATATACAGCTGCATCAGCAGCATCATAGAAGCGAAAGGGGAAATCGCAGGAGCGAGATTTCTCCGCAGGTGCGATCGCTGGACCATAGAAGCGGCCTTCGCACCTGTGTGCCAGCCTCCGCAGAAGCGAGCAAGCTCCTAGGTCTTCATGACCGCAGAAGCGGCAAGGCTCATGCAGAAGCGGAGCCGCACCTGCGCTCCATGATCGCAGTTGCGAAAACACCAGAGCCAGACCTGTTCAAGCCATGCAAAACATTTGAAACTCGTCCGAGACACACCCGAGCCCCCCGAACCCCGTCTAAGCATACAAACAAGTTCTATAACCTAACACGGACTCGCTCGAAGTCTCAAATCACATCAAACAATGTCGGAAATGCAAATCATGCCATGAATCGAGCTTATGAACTTCTAAATCTTTCAACTTCTAGAACTCACACCGAAACTTATATTCCGACTCCGATATCATAAAAGTCAACTATAAGTCAAACTTCTCCATTTTTCAAACTTCAACTTTTCCAACTTTCGCTGAAATGCCTCAAATTACCCTACGGGCCTCTAAATCCAAATCTGAATGCACGCCTAAGTCCAAAATCACCATACAAAGCTGTTGAGATCATCCAAAACTCATTTCGAAGCTGTTTACACACAAAGTCAAATTTCGGTAATATTCTCACCGCTTAAGCTTCCAAAACTAGATTCCTTCTTCCATTCGATTCTGAATCATCCGGTAACTGAATTCAACCATGCACACACGTAGATAAACATAATATGAAGCTTTTCAAGACTTTATGCCACCGAACGGAGCTTAAATTCTCAAAACGACCGGCCGGATTGTTACATCCTCCCCCTCTTAAAACAAACATTCGTCCTCGAACGTGCCAAAATTTGCCTCAAAGTCCTCAAATCAATGAATGCACACTTCCAACATACACCCGCGGGTGCTCTCACATCACCCCAATCTACATAAGCTTGACGATACCATCTCAACTGCAATTTAGCCTTTCTACCAATACTAATAAACCTTAGAGCCAAAATTCTCACCTTCCATTTATTTTCAAGAGACCTGGTTCTAATCTCAACCAGCTACAACAACTCATGCCTACTCCACAAGGCACGACCACAAAACATAACACACCACAAATAGACCTATAATTACATTTCTGATCATAATAGCTGCCCGAAATCAAATCTAGCACCGGTAATTGGTTGCATATTTGATGGAACTCGATTTCTATTACATCTCGCGTTTTCGTGCGTTAAAAGTTTTGTCTTCAGTTAATTAAAGTAGACTCGGGGATGAGATCATCTTGACGTTAACGCACTTACACTATTTATAACAAGTGATAAATAAGTGTTATGAAGGATAAAGGGGTACACAGATTAAAGAAAACGAGTTTCGTTGAAAGTGTCCAATTTGGAATAAAATACAGGTCGAGCAATAATACCCG